CTGAGGCTAGTTTTTTCTTTTTAATAGAATCATGCTATTAACTTCTCACAGAAAGGAGGGAGGGATTAATCAGCCCATTTCACAGAGGAGAAAACAAAGGTTCAGTGGGGTTAGATGACCTGCTTCAAGTTGCACAGGTACTTTGGGGTGGAGTACTTTCCACACATCAGTCATCTCTGAAAGGCAAGTTTTAACCTGGAGCCCAGGAAGGATTTGTCTCTCTTAAGGACCAGGTACCCGGAGGGCAAGGGTCATGCACTTCACTGGTGCCCAGCCCACCAGGAGCCCAGAGGTCAGCATGGGCTCTTCTGGGGCCCTCAGTTCTGCTCCGAGTCCAGTGGTGTGCTCCTGGCTCTCTCCCCTCGCTGAACCGTCTCAACTCTCCCTTCGCCTACAGGAGCTTTCCTCCCTGGTGCCATTGCTCTTCTCACTGTGTCCTCGGAATGCCTCATGCCGTCCCCCCTCCACACCTCTGCTCCTTTTAGAGCACCTGGTTCTGCCCTCCACCTCCGAGCGCCTGGCCCAGTCCTCCTCGACCTTCGTGACCCAGCTCAGGGGGCTCCTCTGAACCCTCCCTGGTTCTCCAGGCAGAGCAGAGCCCTCTCTCTCCTGGGCTAGGAGAGTGGCTAAGAGCCCCAAGGCCAGGTTCAAATCTCAACCTTTCCACTGAGGAGCTCTGTGACTTAGGACAACTTACTTGACCTCTGTTCCTTGGTAAAGCAGGGATCACAGTGGTCCTGACCTCATGGGCTTGCAGTAAGATGAACTTAATGAGAAGACTGATGTAAAACCCTAGCCCAGTGCCTGGCCTGCCGTGAGCCCTGGAGGAGCAATGCTCATTGGATGGCCTGGGGCCCCTCTTGTGCTTGTTCTTATTTATTTACCTGTTTCCCCAACCAGGCTGCGAGCTCCTGGACTTCCATATTCCCAGTGTCTACCACAGGCCTACCACTAGGTGCTTAGTGGACCTTTGCTGAATGAAGGGACAGATACTAATGTCATTATTTCATATATTTTGTCTCCCTTCTCTTCATCTGGTAACAACTGGGTTTCATGCCCAGCCTGCACACAGTAGGTGCTCAGCAAAGGTCTGTGGCTTATTTCTGCAAGCAGCTCTTACCCAGACAAATGGCACGCACCCTCCGCTCCACACATGTGTCAGCCGCCCTCTTGGGTGTAATGGGTACGTATTTCCTAGTGTCCATGCGTCTCAGCTTCCCTGCCAGGCAATGTGTTAAATGGCTGTTCAGCAGCTCAAGTGCACAAATATTCCTTTCAGAATGATCACATTCACCTTTTGTTGGCAGAACATGCCATTGGAAACATCCCAACCTCCTACTGAATGTGGGGGGATGTGTTCTGCATCCACCGCAGTGGCAATACTTGAGGCCAAAAGGCCTTGTCAGGGTTCCAAGAGCCTGCTTTGCCAACTGCTAGCTGGACTCCAAGGGCCAGTGCAGGAGCTGATTCTGGGTCAGCCTGAGCTGACCTAGGCAGGGCTGTTATCTCCATCACATCATTGTTGTCTTTGTCACCAACACCACTGTCATCACTACCGTCACCACCACCACCATCACCATAAGTAACACCACCACCACCACCCACTTCACCATTATCACTGCCATCCAAACGGCCACCATCACCACCGTCATTCCTACCATAATTAATAACACTGTTAGTTATTAACATTTTTAACAGCTTTATCTGCGATAGACATAGAGCTAAGCATGTCACATGCATAACTTTATTTAATCCTCAAAATGACCCTGCAGGGAAGTATGTTTTTAATTCTCGTCTTACAAATGAGCAAACTGAAGCTAGAGAGGCTAAGAAACCTGCCCGACCACACAGGTCAGCAGGTTGTGAAGTCGGTCTGTTTAACCTCAAGTCAGCAGACACACGAGAGTGCCCACCGGCGCACAGTGCCTCCCATCCCAGGGACACGGGAGCAGGTGTGCTTCCCGACCACGGGGACCTCTACAGCTCTCTGAGGGCGCCTGGACACGCATCATTCATGCAAAGCAGCTTAAAGGACCTGGTTTCTTTCCCGTGACCCAGGACAGCACGAGGCCTCTTGCCTGCAGACAGAGGCTGTGTGCCTCTGGGGGGTGTCATGAGCACCCAGAGGCTGCAGACTTCAGCAGTCACCTGTTGGGACGTTTCTACCTCTGAGAGCCACTGAGCTGAGGTTTGTCATGGTCAAGGGCCAAGGGCCCCCAGGTCTGGATTCAAGTCCCAGCTCTGCCACTTCCTGGCTGTGTGATGTTAGGCAAGTCATGTCATTCTCTGAGCCTCAGTTTCCCTATCTGTACAAGGGAGAGTACTTATCAGTGTCTGACCCAGACTAAGTGCACCACCTGGCCACACCCTCACTTTGGCCACTCCTGGCCAGTACCTCCCACATGCCTTTGTATGCACAGTTCTCTGCCCTGATGCCTTGCTCTGCCTTGCCCACTGGCCAACGGCCTCATCATTCTGCAGAATGGGCACCTCCTCGGGGAAGCCTTTGCAGACACCCCTGGAGCGCTGGTCACTCCTGGTTCCCCGGGCCCCCACTGTGCTCAGAGTGATGGGGTTGTGGGGGTCAGTGTGGGTGCCCGAGGACCCAGGCTGTGTTTCACCCCCAGTGCCCAGCACAGGGCTCAGCACGGAGCAGAAGCAAAGGAAATATCACTTGAATCAATCGATGGAAGAGGGATTTAAATAGGGACAAATTAATGAGCAAAGGAAGAAATGACAGAAAGAAGGGAGGAGGGGAAAAATGAAGGAAAAGGGTAAGGAAGGACAGGAGAGAAGAAAACAGAACGAAAAAATGAATGTGATGGAAAAAGGCAGAGAGGAGCATGGGTTTCAGGCCGTGTCCCCTGGGGCCCCTCTCCTCCACCTGCAGAGCTGATACCACAGGGCCCGTCCCCTCCCTCCTGCTCCCTCTGCTCTGCCTGCCACTCAGCAGAGCCTCGTTTGCCTCTGGCTCCCACAAAATATTCCTTGTTCTCTTGCCTGCTCTGCTCTGTCTCTCCCTGTCTCTTAGGTGCCAAAAACAGTGCAATTATCAGAGGTAAATCATGTCTGTCACCAGGCATGCTGGGTGGGAGTGCTGGAACTGGCTGATTCATCAAAAGATGCTCCTCTCCTCCGGAGAGGGGTGAAGGTCCACTTGGGCCTGCTGTCTGTCCCCTGAGGAGCCAGAGAAAGTGACAAAGACTATGAAAATGCTGTTAGTCCCTGGGGCTGCAGAATTTTTTTTAGAGCAACCGGGGTCAATGAATACTTGGCCAGGGGCAGTCCCCAGCTGAGGGTGTTAGAGGGGGCTAAGAAGTGGTGCCGCCTGCACCGAGGCTGGGCGTCTTGGGGGATCCCTGTGGGCAAATCCCTGAGGAAGACTTGGGGTGGCTGGTGTCTTGGGATGGACAGGAGCCTGATGGATGTGGGCAGGGGACCAGCCTTCCGAATGGGGCTGGAGATGGAGCTGAGAGAGGCTGAGAGGGCTAAGACCTCAGGCTGAGAGGCAGAGGCCAAGTGTTTGGAAGGCTGCTGAGACCTTGGCCAGCCTGGGTCTGAGATGACAGCCACACAGAATCCAGCTGATAGCTGGTATTTACGGAGCACCTACTATGTGCCAAGTCCTGCGCTATGTGCTCTAGGGGCCTTGTCTCCTTCCAGCCTCACAGTAGCCTCTGGCGTACTTGTCATCACCATCCCCACGCTAGACACCACGGCACGGATGGGCCAGGGGTGTCATCAAGCCCATGGCTGAAATGCCAGTCAAGGCCTGTCAATCCCTGCTCTGTCTCTGTCCAGGCCTACTTTTTAAAGATGACTTAGGAACCTTTGCAGAGTATAATAATACAGGCTGGCTGTAGATACTTGGGAAAGTGGAGTTCAGGAAAGAAAATAGAACTTCCCTTAAAACGAGACTTTTTTCTATGCCACAGAAAAGACATCAGAGCCCTCACCAATTGGCATCTTGGTTTTTCAATGGAACAGTAGAGCAGAAACAGTTTCCTGTGTGAGTGAAACTCTCAGCAAGTGTGATTATTGATGGCTCTTCTGGCTGGGGATGTGCACCCCCATTTTCTTAGCAATTCCCCTAACTTTGGATAGGTGGATAGACTCCACGTTTTCCCTCTCATAAGCAGCACTGTGCTGCATTTCTTTGTGTTCGAGCATTTTCTACACTTCAGGTGGTTTCCTGAGTGGAGATTTCTGGAACGGGAATTACTGGACCAAAGGAAGGGCTGCTTGGGAGCGGGGAGACGGGCAGAGGTCCAAGGGGTCCTGGAAGCTCACTCCCAGGATGGCGGTTTCTTTTTAAGGGACACCAACTCGTGATGGGGGCTGGCTTCCTTTGGACAAACAGATGTCTGACTTCTGGCCGTGGGCTTAGATCTCAAACAGAAATTTGGATGATGCCCTGTTGACTGCATCTTCGCCCTCCCCCAGGAGCTGCTGGGTGGGTGTTGCAGGGGCTTGCATGCCGTCGCTTAGGGACTGGAGGCACTGACCACTGGGGAGATCCTGGGGGCCACCTCATCCAACCCTCCCCACATCACACAGGTGTGCATTTGGCAGATGGGGTAGCTGAGTCCCCAGAGAGACAGGTAACTTGTTGGAGCCACTCTGTTTGGTGGTGATTTTGCTGCGGCCAGACGCAGGCCCCTGACTCCAAGGCTATTGCTCTTTCCAGGATGCGAGCGGCTTCTCATTTTGATTGCAGGTCATATAATTCTATACCCTGAGAATAATGAATAACAATCACTGATATCAGGTTACCATGGCAACACTGGTCCCAAATTTCCTCCCAGGGGTGCCGGGAGCGCTGGCTGGAGCTGTGAGAGGCCTCCAGCATGGGGAGGGGTGGGAGGGGGGCTGACCTGGATGGGGCTGGAGTCCTCTGTGTCTCAGGCCAGTGGGATGACATCACCCTGAAGCCCTCAAGGAAGCCCCGGGGCTGGGCCCAGAGCAGGGGCTGTCACCAACGATGCTCCAATTTGGTGCAGATTCTCCCCATGAAGAGAGAAGCAGGAACCATGGTTCAGATTGTTTTTAAGACCGGAAGCTGGGTCCTGGAGTGGATGGCACTGCCTAGATGGGGAAGAACTGCTGGAGAGGAACCTCGTGAGGCCCTTTGGAAGTTCCAGGGAGGAAACGAGGCGGCAGAGGCTCCCAGTGGCAGTGTCAGCAGAGGTGGGTGACAGGCATTGATTTGTTCTGGGGAAGGAACATAGAAAACTGCCTGGAGAGGGGTCCAGGTCCAGAATGGGGCTCTGGGGGAAGAGAGGGCCCCCAAGATGCAGTCCTGCAGCTCGCAGGCAGGACCAGCTGGAATCCCACAGGTGTCCTCCCAGCACTGTCCAGATGAGGGCTCTCCTGGGCTAGGGCTGCGGAGGAGGAGAATGGGAGGAGTGGGGGTCAAGGGGGAAGTGCACTGGGGGAGGAGACCCCTGGGTGCAGGAGCTAAGGGGAAGTGGGTCTTTGGGTTCCTAATTCCTCAGTTCTTTTTCTGTTTGCCTTTTTTCTCTCTTCAGTTCTACCCCCCTCCTCTCCACTCCAGTTCTCTGCCCTCTCCTCCTCTTCTCTCCTTCCTTCTTTCCTTCCTTCCTTCCTTGCACCTATGCCACTCTCTTCACCTCTTTGACATCTTCTCTTTGTCCCTCCTTCCTCCAGACACTCTCTTCTCTCCTTTCTCCTGCCCCATCAGGTGACCAGAAATGCAGCGGTCCTCTGTCTCTTGTCCAGCAAAACCAATCTTATTATATACACAGAAAAATAGATTGATAAAGAAAGTAATTAAACAAAAACAAACCACACTGGGCTCTTTCTGCCCCCAGCCATCATCTGGGCCTGCCACTGTCTGTTTGGGGACTCTAACCATCAGCCAAAAGCAAACAAAGTTGACAAGGAAAATCCATCGCTAAAATGTTCCATAGCTACATGGATGTGCATCGAGGACAGCATTTCCTAAACCGTGGCCCATGAACTCCAGGTCCTTGCAGTGGGAGATGCCGTTCAGGGATGTGGCTGAAGCACAGGCTCTCAACCTTGTCTGCCTGGCTTCTAATCCCCGCCCTATGACACACTGGCCATGTGACCTTGGGTAAGGGCTTCATGGCTCCGTGCCTCAGTTTCCCTTTCTGCAAAAATAATAATAGTACCCGCTTCATAGGTTTTTATGAAGACTTAAAATGGAAAGATCTTAGCACAATGCCTGGCACATAATAAGTGCTGTGTGACCTGCTTCTATAGGTGTTCCGTGAAAGGAAGTTCGAGAAACACTGAGACCGTCTTGGGAACAACCAACACACAATAGCACAGTCTGGGCCCAGGAGTCCGACAGCAAAAAGACCTCTTTGACTTTGGTTACCTTGGTAATTCTTGAACTTACTTTTATGATCATGCTCTCCTTTTCTTCTTTATAGGCCCCAAACACCCGTCTCTTAGGACATGCCCACCTTGAGGGTCCCAGCCAGAGAAATGCTGGTTTGGGATTATTCATCATTTCTGGACCATGGTGAGTGAGGTAGAGGAAGAAGGCCTCATCTGAGTCGTCCCCAAGATCTGGGGTCAAACTCCACAGCACCCGACCAGCCACCTGGCCCAGGAAGTGCTACCGTCAGGCCCTGAGAGAGGAAGTGGCTCGTCCAAGGCCATATAGTTAGGGGGAGAGACTCAGGACTGATACAGGACTCCCAGCCCAGGACTCTCCCTCTTCCTTATCTCTCTAACTTCGTTGTTAAGGAAAAGCAGGAGGTAAGGAGGGGTGTCCTTCATCTTTGAGACTCATGTGATTCCCCTCCTTCATCACTGGCATTTTATGCCCTGCGAGGCTTGAACTCTAGTGGCCACAAAATACATAGCTTTCTTCCCAACCAGGAAGAAGGAGGAGGCAGGAAGTTCCTACTCTTCCCTCCCCACCAATAAAGGTAAAAGAGCTAAATTGCCCCCAGACAGAGGGACCAGGCACTTCTGAGAGAGGCAAAGCATCTGCCCCTGTCCCTGGTGCTGAAACATGACCTGGAGCCTGGTGCAGTGGTCCCCAAGCCCAGACTGGGCTGAAATGGCTGTTGTAGAATCTCCCGGGGAGTCCGTCAAACTGTGATTCCAAGTGTTGCTTCTTACCCATCGAATCAGATCTCCTGACGTTGGTAGAGCTTCCATACTTTTGTGAATCTGAGGGGTGGGTCAGAACCCCACTACCTCGGGGAGCATTTGTGTACTCCAATCCCCAACCCACGGGAGAAGTGGATCATTGCTTTTTAGTGACATTATTTGCTGAAAAAATTGTTATTTTGATACTGTCACAGAAAACATAAGTTATTTTATATGTTTCATATTAATGGAGCAGATTTTATGGGCTGTTGGCAGTCTATTATTTTCACAGCAGTAGCGATTGTTTTCTACTCTGGGGGCGTATTCCCTCCCGACTCCACGTTTGTGGTCCCCTCTGAAGTCCATTCCATTCTTTCCCTCGGCCTGCAGACCCAGGGATTTAAGGTGCTGGGGTGGGTTTAATTATGTTCACGTGCTCCCTGTCCCCACAGTGCACTGCTCCAGGCAGAGACGAGATACCTACATTGTGGCATTTACTCGTCCAGATTCTTCTCTTTCCTTCAGTGGAGAAATGGTTGCATGGGACATTCTACCAAGCAAGTGCTAGTGGGGTGGGGCTAGGAGACCCCCATAGCTTCTGACCCCCCCCATGGGCTCTGATGATGTGGAGGAGAGTGGATTCGGTTCCCCACGGCCTGCATCACCTCTTCTCTGGCTTCCCAATGTCAGAGCAACTAGCTTGGTGGCTGTGAGGAGGCGTAGAGCAGTGATTACAAAGCAGAGGCTTGGGGGTCAGACCCAGGTTCAAAGCCTGGCTCTGCTTTTTATGATCTGTGTGATTTTGGACAAGTTGCTTTTACTTCCCAGGCCTCTGTTGCCTCATGTGTAAAATATGAACAGCACTATCCATGCTTCCACAGGGTTGATGTAGACATCATTTGAGAAAATGGGCATCCAAGTGTCTTCCTATATAAAACACTAAGTTATTACAGTCATACAAATGAATCTCTTCTCAGATGATGGCTGGAAACTTAGGGAGGGCATTTACAATGTAATATGGAATTCTTGGTGTCCTGCAAATTTCCACTTCTCTGCCCCTTCCCTGGAAATCAAGTTGGAAGAATGAAGTTGACGGTAGGTGTTTGGGGTCATGGAAGGGCAGGGTTGGGTGTCAAAGCACTGCCCCTGCTGAGGCATCTACTCCAGGTGCCTCTCAAAAGCTGTCCAAACCAAAGAAAGAAAGGAAACTGTCCCAGGGTTGGAGCAGGTCTCCCAGGCCTCTGGTGTGGAAGCCTTGGGCCCAGGGGCGGGGGGCTTAGAGCTATTCAGGTCCTCGGGTTGGTCTGAGGGAGCAGAGCCCGAGGTCACACACTGGGGGCTCCTTTGCCTCTTTTGCACAGATGGGAAGGTGGAGGCCCAAAGGGGTCGATCAACTTGACCCCTCAAAGCCACAGGGTGAGTTTCAGCAGCACCAATGGGAAGAACCAGTTGTCCTTTTCATTGTACCACATGGCCTCCTGGGTGCAGTGCCACAAGTTCAGCCCCTGCTTCTGTCTGGAGTGAAAAAGAAGAAAGTCCAGGGGACGTGGGTTAGTTTCTGGGAAGATGGGTTGGACTGGTTTTATGTCTCTCCAGGGGGAAGCAGCACAGCTTAGGTGTTAGGAACAACAGGAAATGCCACCTCTGTGATGTGAGTCAGTGAGGACAATACATATGACACACTTCGCTCCATTTACAAATGAGACTTTGGTTCTGTGCCTGTGTACGTGCTAAGATGTTGAGCCAGAAAGTGAAGAGTGAGAAGTGGAATACCACTCCTCTGGTGTGGCCGAGAGTTGCTGGAACTGTACGCAAAATTGACTGTGCAGACTTGCAGTGGTGGAAGGAGCTGCCTGCGAGAGCGAGCTTGCGTCCCTGGAGGTGAGCAGGCCCCGGGCAGGGGCGCCGCCGACAGGATTCGGGCTCCGACTGGGAGACAGACCAGCACCTCTGATGTTCCTTGATGCCCACTCACCCCCTTCTCCATCTCCTGGATCCTGCTCCCTGGAGGCCTCTGTTTTCCAAAGAGGCAAGCAGCCTGCGTGGTAATTACTTTTGGACTTATTAAGCATAATTATCCCTTAATCGCATACAACCAGTAATTACTGTGGCTGTTACCAGGAGCCTACCCGTGTAGTACTGTCTGTAGCCCCGGGGCCCAACGCCAGGCTGGGGCCTCAGGTGGAACTGGTGTCCCCTGCCACGGGGTTGAGGGGGAGATCTCAGCCGAGACGGGGCTGCTGCATCCCCCACTGGGTGCTCCTTTGGCCTGGGTGCCAGGCTGGTGAAGGAGTCACTCACACACCCCAGCCAGCCCCAGGCGGCTCCAAGCTCCAACCAGGCAGCGCCCTTCCCAGTGCTCCCCGGCCGGCAGTCTCTCCTCTCTCTTCATGTTCCCCTTTCTTCCCTCCAACCAACTACCCTCCTTCTTCCCTTGGTATTTCTTAGTCTCTTATGTTCTGGCACTGCTCCAGGTCCTGAAGCTACGGTGCTGCGGGGGCGGGGGAGCCCAAACCCGCTGTGGCGGAGCTCTGTCTATGTGAGACAGGTGTGTGGCATGTTACGAGGCTGCGTGCGGTGGGGGGAACTGGAGAGCAGGGTGATTGGCGTGAAGAGGTGTTCTTTTGGGTGGAGCGGGGGAAATTCAGTCTTGTTAGGGTGGCCGTGGTCGGCCTTGTAGAGGGTGGGACGCTTGAACAAAGAGGAAACAGTGCAAAAGCCCTGAGGTGGGGACAGGCTCTGGGTGTCTGAGCACACTGAGGGGCCAGGCTGGGTCGGGGTGGGGTGGGGGGAGGGCGTCGGGGAGGAGGCCAGCTGAAGGGGAGGGGAGGGCGTGGGGCCTGCTGGGCCATCTTACGGATGTCGGCTTTCCCTCGAAGGAAGCGCTGGCGCAGAGGGGCATCCTGATCAGCTTGTCCATGGAGAGACCATGGAGGTGGGGGAGCCCAATGAGGAGGAGCTGGTGCTGCAACCCAGATGAGAAATGGTGGCGACCAAGGACTGGGAGGGATAGAAGGATTCTAGAAGCATTTTCCAGGCAGAGAGGACGGGATTCCCTGGTGGGTAGACATGAGGTGTGAGAGACAAGCATCGAGAATGGCTCTAGGGGTTTTGGCTTCAATAACAAAGGAGGGG